CTCAAGCAGCAGGAGCCACCCTGACAGTGGAGTCAGAGGTTTTTCTGAAAGGGAGGGCAGGAGGAGAATCTTCAGTTTGGATGCAACCTTTCCATGGGCAGATGTTTCTCCCACATCTCAAAGAGAATGCCTGTTTGATTTTTTCTGTTCCGTAACCTATTAAGTTCTAGTAAAAGGTCTGTGGTTCTAAAATCTTCTCTGACTCTGCTAGAAATGAAAAGAGGGAAGGAGACACCTGCTAATAACAACCTAATGTAATTTAGAGGCTACTTCATCTGATCTTAGTTTATATACCATGCTAATGAGAGGAGTACCCAGACACAGAGAAAGGGCATAGGTTGAGTGTTGGTTGTCACTGAACTCTGGTTGCTGTGTTGTGTCAACTTAGCCATGCTAGCAATCCAGTTTGTTAACTACAAACAATCTTTTAAGGTAACCCAGTGTTGAGTTGTGACCTGTGGGTTGTGTGTGGATAACAAACCTTTGTTAGCACTTCTGGATTCATGCAGTACCACAGTCCATGGTTCAACACACAACCCACACTCAGTTCATACTCATCCTTGAGGTGACTCTAGTAATCTTCTATATAAATTATCTACATGTTTGCTACAAGATATTTTGGACTAGAACTTCCAATATCCCCAGCCAGTGTGGTTAATAGGCATGACTGGGGATGATTGTAGTCCAATACATCTAGAGTGCATCAGGTTAGGAAAGGCTCACTAAAACAATTCACATATGAAGTTTGTTGCTAGGTATTCCATATGCTAGAAACTAATATCAGAACAAAGTGGCTTTCCTGTTAGCTCAGGATGAGAGAGACACATCTGTACCATGATTTCGTGGGATGGATTCTGGCAGAACATAAATATTATATCTAGTCCACTTATATCCAGGCTAAAATTACAACAAATTATATTCCACTGGTGCATCTCTTCCAGTGTTGAGCTTTGGGTGAAGTAGTTCCTCTTAGTTCATGAATGGATATTCTTGTTTTCACACTTCATTTAGTTTCTTCTTTGTCATGCACTGTCCCAACAGTAATCTTTATGTTTATCCTGTGTATGTATGATTCCCTCCCACAGCACGGTTTGAAGTGTGATTCCCCCTGGCAATGTTCCCCCATGTGCCTATATGTGTACCAAGAAATGTGGTATATGTGCCGGAGGAAAGCAGGAGGCACACTTGAAGGCAGCATTATGAAGCTGATGAATTTAGCTGTTGCATAGGAAAACAAAATACCTGCCTGTTTGAAAATGAATTCCTTTGTATAATTTCTCAAATTCAGCCTGACAACTAAAGGTCCAAGTAATGAAGAAAAGGAAGTGGAACATTATCTGGGAACATGAACAGTGCAAATTGTCTAGGCTGTCCAGTTATGGAAATAATTATGCTTCTTAAATGAGCACCAATGTACAGATTTAAAAAAACCTGTTGACTAGGTAGAGTGATTAACAAATCATCCCATAACCTTACAATGGGACTTAGTTTCTGGGTGGTTTGAGCCACCCCAATAAACCACCCTTGAGAAGTCATCCTGGCAAATCATCTGGCACATAACCAGCACATGCATGGCAGCTAACAAGCCACCAGTGGCTTAGTGTGCTTCATCACTCCTTTGATTTTATGTGGGATTGGTACCTTCAAAACCTGCTGGCTTGTTTTTTGCTCAAGGTCATGTCCTGCTACCCGCATCAAATTGTGGGAAGATAGCAAAGCAGATCAGCATCAGATGCATCAGCAATATCTAACTGTGCTGCATCAGTTTTAGCAAATGCAGCTGTGATAACAAAAGTTTTCTACGCTGCATGGTGTTACATTAAAGGTATTTCATTAGTTAGCAAATACAACTTGCAGGCTTACTGAAATGTTTTTGAACATGTTGCTCTGTTGCCTCTTATTGCAAGGAAGAGCTTTCTTTTGTATTTTTAAACCACTGCTCATGGTTCAGAAATGTGATATATCAGCTTCTATAGTTAACATACCTCAATTAATATGGTCTATTTAGATTAGGGGTTTTTGTTGTTTTTGCTGGTTCTTAAATGATCAGAGCCAGGTTTTCTCTTAAACTGTCTTCTTAGTTCATAGGTCACTAACTGGGGGCAATACCTTAATATCTTTAAAGGTATTTTTTAAAAAAACTGGCAAGTGATACTCTTCATAGAAAATTAAAACATGTTACATGAGTCTTGTAGATAGGCAGAAGTCACACACTTTCCCTAATTTGCTATTTTTTCTCTCCTTGAATGGGCCTAGTGCAGATGGAGCATGACATACTGCTCCATATATCCACAAAGTTAAAGATGACATTCACAAGTTAAAAGCTTGATCTGTAAAGAGTTCCAGTTTTTTTGGTTCAGTTAGGGATATAAATATTTTCATTAGATTTGATCTAGCCAAAGTTCAGTGCTTCTAAGTGCAATGGACATGATTGAAACCTGTGCTTGACTCTGACTTGAAATGAATAGGTGCTTTGGCTGAATTATGTCCCCCTTGACTTACATGCTGAATACTGCTGACTTGTTGCTATGTGCTGTCAAGTCATCTCCAATATATTGCAAACCCATAAATGAAATCCCTCTAAAATGGTTTGTCCACAACAGCCATATTCAGCTCTTCTAAGTTCAGGGTTGTCATTCCTTCATGGATTCAGTCCTTCTCATATTTGAACTTCCTTTTCTTCTTCTGCTTTCAGTTTTCCCTAGCACGATTGTCTTCTCCAGTGAATCTTGCCTTCTCATGATGTGGCCAAAGTATGACAGCCTTAGTTTTGTCATTTTTGCTTTTAGGGAAAGTTCTGGCATGATTTACCCTAGAACCCACTTGGTTGTCTTTCTCTCAGTCCAGGACATTCACAAAGCTCTCCTGCAGCACCGTGTTTTGAGTGTATCAATTTCTTCTTGTCAGTTTTCTTCACTATCCAGCTTTCACAGCCATTGATTGTGATTTGGAATACAATAGTTTGAATAATCTTGGCCTTGGACTCCAGTGAAACCACCTTATATTTGATTACTAGTTCCTTCATTGGTGACTTGCATATCATTGGTGATATTGCATGTAGAATATTGGAATTCAGTAGAGAAAGCCTTTTATATGCACAGGGATGGGTAACTTGGGTGGGCATGGCTACTGTTTTCTTTCAGGCAAAAGTCTTGGAAGCAGCCAGCTATGGATGAGTTTATAGGGGTAGGGATGGTAGTCATGAAAGCTTTCACTTTATATATGTGGTGTTTTAGATCCAAGTAAATATTGCTTAGTTTCTATGATTTTATAGAGTTGTGCAGAGATAAACTCTAGTGGAAAAAACCAAGTAAGTTTAGTCATCATGCTAAGAACTGATTCTTGTCATTGATATGATTTTTTAATTGGAAGTTCAGTAGCTTGCATCTGAGAGGAGTAATGTCAAAAGACTCAAAACATTCTATGGTAGGTTATAATTCAGTGCCTGTTAACATGTTTATACTTAAAAAATTAAATTGAGAAAGCTGTGTGCAGAAACTTAACTGTATAATTTTTAGTTATATCCTATGTGTTTCTCATTATTTTATGAATGTGCTATAAATTGTAGGCAACAAAAGCATATACCGTGAAATAGAAGATTACAATTATGCATCAGTATTCCTGCAACATGATGTCTCGCTAATGTCCCCAGGGAATATTTCTACAAATACCCTATGTTAATTGGCTCAGTTCTTGTATGTCTGACATGGCAAAAAATTAATAATCGCACTCTGTGTGTGTGTGAGGGAGGGAGGGAGGGAGAGATCATGCGTGCATGTGTAATAAATGAATGAATGATCCTGGATTTGAAAGCTCTTTGGGGCAAGACCATATCTTTGTACAGGTTTTTCTGGTGTCTAACAGAGTGTAGTCCTTGCTAATTAGTTTCTGAATTCCTTCATACTATTAAAATATAATGGAAAAGGGTTAACTATCAAATGGCTGCTTTTTAATATTGCTGTTCCCATCTAACATGATTGTCTGATACATAAAGCCAGTCAAATTCTGCAATGCCAGTTTGATACTTTCCATTGTTGGTATTGTTCTCTGTTTGCAAAGAAACATCTTGCCTATTAACCAGTACAATTGCATTCAAATTAGTATAAAATATTTAAATTAATTAAAATAGCAGCAGACTGTATGGGCTTTGCCAAGCCTTTTGCCCCCACTGGTGTTCTTCTGAGAGGCTCTTGAAAGAAACTAATGAGAGCTCTTCATCAGTCGGTATATTTTCATGCAGGCTGTTTGGCCAGTAACCTTTGCACTGCATGGTTACACCTCTGAGATGGCTGCTATAAGTTATATGCAGTTCAGTTCTGTTACAGTTTCATGTTCTGTTTAGAGGACCTGGGATGGGAAAAAATCAGATCAAGCTGTAATAGGCCGAATATCAACATTACAAAGGATACCTTTTGTTTGTTTTGTAGGTTTTGTTTTCACACATTAATTATAGGTGATGCAGGCATTAAATACATTAAAAAATATACTTTTTTCTTACTGCCTTCATTGTCTGCTGTAAGAATGCTGAATAGTTTTAGAGGGTGATATGTTTTGTTTGTGTAGCAGGTGCGTGCTCTTGAAATGCTGTAAAGTGCTCTGTGATGGTGTAATTTCTTGGGCAGTTCTACTTTGGTGTGCTTAGTTACCAGCCACATACAGAGATCAGCAAAGCCTAACATCTGTTAAGCACTAATAGTCCATAATAATACAATCCTTCATATTCACTCCAGCACTTCTTTTATGTGTTCAAATATCTTGTAGTAACAGCAGGCTCCTGCACTCTCTGTTCCGCTGGGAGAGGAGAGATCTGCTCAAATTCTGGTGCATTGTGAATTTTCAGAATGTAAATCAAGGGCAGCGCTTTGCAGCGTATGGCAGCATTGATAGAGAGAAAATGTAGCTCTAATCAAGGCTTTCCCTCGCCCCGTCTTTTCCTCCGTCCCTGGAGGTTTTACTCATTTTTCTTTTTTCTTTGTTTGTCCCCCCTCTCCAAATTAAAGCTGGATGATGAAGTGACTACTATTCAAGTGAAGGAACTGGACCAGGATGTGCTGGTGCTTAGGAAAGTGTCGTCACGTAGCCCAGCCCCCACATCAGGGAGTGCCGAGAGTGATTGGAGGTAAGAGTTTTTTCCTTGGGTGCTCAGCCACAGCCACACACACAAGCTCTGACTGCAGAGCTCTCGGCAGCCAGATGATCTCAGTTACCAGCAACGGTACCAAGGAGGCACGATAAAGCAGCATGTAGGGAATGCCTTTGTTATTTGCCCTGCAGTATGGGAAGTTCCAGGCTGAGGATCTTTGACCCACATGTAGAGAGGAAGGATTCTGCCTTGTTTTTAGGCAGAGAACTGCCTTTGCCCACATTCGATGTGCCTTATTTTAAATACATTGATGAAGAGGATGATGAGGATGAATGGAGCAGCCGCTCTCAGTCTTCAACAGAAGATGACTCTGTGGACTCTCTCCTTTCTGACAGATACGTGGTGGTATCTGGGACACCGGAGAAGATTTTGGAGCATCTCCTGAATGACTTACACCTGGAAGAAGTGCAGGACAAAGAGACAGGTAAATTGTAATTGCACCCTCTTGTGTAAAGCAGCTGTCTGTCCACTGGTGCTCTTAGCAAATGCAGCTGATCAGCCACTGTAGAAAGATTATACAGTAAGGCATTTTTTTCTTTAAAACGATTAGGATTGTATAGTAGTACTGTTTTATGTGTGTCCCATTTACATTGATGCTTGATCATCTTAATGTAATGTGTCACTTATACTTGATAATAGGAGATGGAACCTGGAAAATAAGTTCCCTTTAGGGAAAAAAATACTTGTTCACACTAACCTCTTCAGCAGCTTAGTCTGTAAAATGCAAGCAGTTATAAGGGATGATGTGTGATAAGTAACATGCAGGAGGTGGCAAGCTGAGGTTTAGCTGCTTGTGAAATATGTCAGCAATTAAAGTATTCACCTACTTACTTTAGCACCAACTTATGCTTCTTATTTTAATTAATAGCTTACCTAATGTATCTTTAGCACATCCTGTTGTGTATAGAATACAATGCTAATTAACCCTCTTTTCTATGTGATCCTCTGTAGCCTGAAGCTATCTGAATGCACATTTTATTTAACAGGACATTTCCTCATATCATAAATTCAAATTTCTACTCTCCTCATTGTGCCTGTACAGAGATACAGAATTTGAAGGTGGCTTATAGACTTCCATCATAGCACAATACGCAGCAATAGGATGTTTTGTAGTACTTGGCTGTCTTTAATCGGGGACTGTAATTTTGTTCCAGCCTGGAGCAATTATATTGATCAGGCTCCTTGACATGCAGGTTATTTTTCAGCTTGATCTCCTGGCTTTAATGCACACTTTGCTGTCACCAAAGCTCCTGTGGTAGTTTATCAGGATCACCTGCAATTTATTTACAGTTTTAATTAAAACAGTCTTGGGGCTATCCTTCAGAGTTTCTTTATAATTGCAGAAGGGCTATGAAATGTAGCAGGTTGGAAATGGAGTTGATGGGTTCTTTTTTATTGTTCTCAGTAGAGCCACAATGCACATTCTTAGTGCTCTTTTCTAAATGAGATTACTAAAAATAAACACATTTAAAAGGATTAAAGGGATTAAAGCATAAATAACATCTGTGAATTCCTATAGCAGACGAGCCAGGTTCTGTGGCCGCAAATCAGTAGAATATTGTTAAGCATATGACATTTGTGTTTAACTGCACCTACAAGTATCTGATTTATTGTGCTGCTTGTAGAGCTGCTTCCTTATGACTGGAGATTAATATTTTGTGCAAAGAAAGCACTGCTGTCTGAATGCTGTGCAGCCTCAGTTATTATAAGCATAATAATGCTGTGCATAATTTTACTGGTGGAAAATCGTAAGCTATATAATAGAGGTGGTTCATGCCAGGATACTTTTGGCTGGGCGGCATAGAACTCATGGAGTTGGGAGAATTCTTTCAGTATATTTGTGTATTTAGGCTCGGCACAATCTCTTCATGTAGATTGTTATTGGCTTTACTTACTCACTTTGAGCATGGATGTACTCTCCAGTAATGTAGTGCAGTAGTCTCAGGATCTCTGCCCTACCACCTTGACATTACTTGTTGTAATAAAGGTACAGGAGCCCTGATTATCTCTGTTGCATCTGATCCGCCCAGATTAACTGGCTTCTTGACCACATGTGTTTCACCCCTTGTTGCCCCCATGCATGAATCTTTCTGCCTGAGGTTCCCCCCCCCCCGAAATTGAATGTCTTTCTCCTTGTATTTGTGTGTGTGTTACAAATAAGGGTGTCCCTAAGAGACTGGGTCCTTTAAAGACACACACTGAGAGAGACTTTAAAATATATGCAATTTTAGCACATGCAAGTTTGTCAATTTTTAATTTATTTGTCTTGGATCTTTCTGGTACCTAGCACTGACCCTCTTTTCTTGCCCCGTAGCTTCATCTTTATACCCTGTTCTTCTCCCTGTTTCCCAAATGTAAACCCACCTGTCCATCATTTCATTGTTCCATGCTATAGGTAAAAATGGCTATCTGAGTATGACTGGCAAAGCTATATTTAGTGGGTGGCTGATTTCCTTCTATATTTTTCCACCCCTGTCACGCCCCCCAGCCTCACTGTCTGTTCTGTCATATGCACAGTATGTTTCTAAAAACAAAGCACTGCAAGTATACCTTAAAAATTAAATAATATTTCTATTAAAATGAATGAAGCAGCTGCAGAAGTTGACTTGCAATGTGCTGAAGTATGAAAACCTGCATAGTATATTTTGGGGTGATAAGGTTGTGAGTACAGTCCCTTGTGTTATTTCAAGAGCCTGCAAAGCCTCCCCCAGTAATGTTGAGGATTGATCCACTGAATTCTAATAAGCTGCTCAGTGTATACAGGGCTACCTTCAAAGCCTTGTCAGGAACTTGTACAGGCTTAAAGAGGCTGATGGAGCTAAGTTGTTAATTGGTGAACTAGATGCATCCCCTTGACAGGCGCTGTGCAAGATGGTTCAGGCCACCCTATGCTGCTTTTGCTTAGCCAGGCTATGGCTACTCCTTCTGGATTGCCAGTCTTATGCTTATCCCTGTGCTCAGTTTCTGCTAACATCGCAGGATTTGGTTGGGGGAAACACCTGATTACGGATCATGTAGACCTGTTTCTCCTGTAGCAGTTTGAGTTCCACAGCTCATTGGCTTTTCTGGTTGTCAACTGACTTTGGCTGGAAGCCAGGTGATATTGCGGCAGTAATCCAACTCATTTTCTTCTTGTCTTGCTCACCTTGAAATTTGCAGGGATTTGCTTCCAGGAAGCATGCTTAAATGTAGTACATGCTATTTCAAAATTAGCATATGGGATTTTCAGTAAATTAAATGTAGAGCTGTTTGCCTTGTGGGGCTTTTGTGGCCTTTCATAGGCAGGTTTTGACCCAACATTTATTTTAATGCACATGTACAAAGAGTGCAATGCCATTTATGCTCTATACCAAACCTATGTAGCCCTCATATCTGCTTTAATATTATGTGCATACACACCCTGGCAAGTCCATGTGCACATACAACCTGGTAACTAAAATAGCTACATATGAAACTATCATATACTAAATAAAAATAATGATCTTTTTTGCTTTGTATTGATATTGGTTTTCCAATTCCTCAGGCCACATCCTTTCTGAGCCTTACTGCAGGTTTAACTGCAAATACTAGGCAGCAGAAAATAGGAATAAATGCACAGTTTTCACATTGGAGAGTTGTAGAAAGTGGGTTCCTCCAAGGAGATTTGTATTAGGACCAATTTTTTTTAACTTGAACTTTAATGATCTGGAGTTAAGGGTAAGTAGTGAGGCAGCAGACTTTATGGATGGTGCCAAATTACTCAAAAAACAGAACTCCAACATGAACCCTCCATACTGGGACAATGGACATTAATAGCAAAAGCAGTTCAGTATGAGTAAGCAGAAATCTAGCAGTCTCGCCAGGACATGAGCAACATAGTTCACCTTGCAAATGCCTGCAGGATGAGAAGTAGACCTGTAGATACTTGCAAGGACTGGAACCTGGGCAATCATGCAGTGCAGGTAGAACTTCTAGAAAGCTCTATTAAAGGCCCCCAGGCTCCTGTTTTGCATTTCCCCTTGTCCTTGTTCTGTATCTGTTTTGCATTTCCCCTTGTCCTTGTTCTGTATCTGTTTTGCATTTCATCTTGTCCTTGACCATCCTGTGGCTCCCGCCTGCTACAGCCTCTGCCTATGCCTCTAGTCTGTCACCACCTTGCCAGGTGCGTGTTCCTCATCATCCCTGAACCAGCGTTGCTCCTGACCCTGTTTCACCTTGCTGGTATTTGACCTCAGCTTGTCTCTGGATTTTGCCTTTCTTTCTGATTCTGTTTGCTTTGCTGGTGTCTGACCTCAGCCTGTATCTGGACTTGCCCCTGGACCAGCGTTACCTTAATGCTGGGTGACCTTAACCTGATTTTGGATGTTTGGCTTTGCTTCTGACATCCTGCTAAGACCTTGGTTCCTCTTCAGTGTTCCTGGTCCTGCTATTCTAGCTTTAAATACCTGCTACTTACATCCTTGTGCAAAAGTGATGAACTTGGAGAGAGAAAACAAAAACAAATATTCTCAGCTTCATAAAGACATTGACTTTCTTTGAGCTGGTAGTCGCTGAGCAGCAAAGAGAATGAAACCACAGGACAGACTGTGGCAATTGCAGAAATTGTGAACTGTGTAAGGAATCGTTTGGAAAGGGCTTGATAATAAAATGGCAATATTATAATGTCACTATGCAAATATGTAGTGTGACCATGCTACAAATACTGTGTGTCTTTCTGGCTGCTTTACCTCCAAAATGTTGAGCTGAATGGCAACCAAAATAGTAAGGGACCTGGAAAACATGCCAAATGAGGAAATGGTACAACATTTGGGATTGAAATAAATGAGTAAGGGGAAGGCATGCTAGATGTATAAAGTTATGCATGATGTAAAGAAAGTAGACAATGAGCTTTTTTCCCATTTAATACCAAAATTCAACAAAACTGAATGACAGGAAATGCATTATATGGAACATAGCTAAACTATGGATTCATTTCTTAAAGGTGTAATGATAGCTACCAACTTAGATGCTTTCGAGGGGATTAGACAGAGGAGGAGGCCATCACTAATTGCAGAACAGCAATATACTTTGTTCAGGATTAGAGAGAATGTCTTTGTCTACAACAGAGAGGGACAATGCTACTGTAGTCATATTCTGTTATGGACTTCCTGCAGGAACCTGGTTAGCTACTGTGGGAAGCAGGAAGCTGGATTAGATAGGCTTTTGGTCTGATTCAGGTTTTCTTTTCTTATGTTCTAGCACCATCTTCATTCAAATAATGTGCTGTACCTCTGCATGTGACTGTTCCTCATGATGTGGATGTGCCCTGTGCCTAGATGTAAACAAAATGTTTGCAGAAGTTCTTGTGCCAGTAGTGTCAACATCATGGTAGCAGATGCGTAGGTGACCTTAAGGACAGTAGTCTGTTCAAACAGTAATGATGTCCCTCTGTGGAGGGCACAAGGG